TTACATGAAGCGTTTTCTACTAAAGCGCTGAGAGAATTATGAAGGCAGAAACTGATATTGTTAGCATAATATTCAGGAGAGGATATTTCAACAATAAAGACCTATTTTTAGTCAGCGAGGGGATCCTTGATTTTATTATCTTTTGTCGTTTGTTTAGTTTAAATCTCCAGCTCATTTATTACTTGACCTCTGCTTCTCAAACACACAGAGAGCTCACTTTTTGAACTGAAAGCCAAACATTCATGGGAACCAGTTCCCCTCACTGCTTTTGAATCAGCTCCAAAATGCCAAGTTTTCTCAGGAGGCTCTTCAGCCAGTCCATCACAGGGTTGTGAAGTTTGCCTATTATTAGACTATTTCAAAACAACAAGACAAAAAAAAGGAGACGAAGCAGCAGCCTGTTGCAGAAACGCTTCAGTTGCTGTCGATCACAGGAAGCTGGAGAAAGCCTGATAAGATGCGTGCTATTCTGCAGGGCTTTCCATCCAACCACTCATAATGTGCCTCTGCTCATGCTGACAAGGAAATGTTCAACTTTCAATAATCTTCTTAAAGCATTCTGCACATAACTGTCCAATCTGGAGGAGGAGGACAGCTTTACCAACGTTCTGTACAAAATCATTGTCCTGAAGGTGTTGGTTTCATTGACTGGACTTCTAGAACAATCCATAGCATTGATCTTCACTTATCTATAGACAAAAACAGGATTAGGGGCTAAATGAGTGGAGCCTAGTGCTGCTGAATCATAGTGAGCTAATATAGGCTGGGAGTTTCTAGGCTAGTTTATTAGATTATCTGGCCTCAAACAGGGCCAACTGCTGCTTTTTTTATAGCATGTTCAAATAAATACTCATCCTGGTTGTGAAGCAGAATGATTGAGAAAGATGAGTAACTCATGACTAAATGATTCTGGAAACATCAGCTGATGTGTGCCTGCCTCGTTTTTACGCTTTTACACAAACTTAGATTCAAAACTTTTGAGGAAGCCATTGAACTGCATGTTTACACAATAGCTGTCAATTTTAGGATTGTAATCACAACCCAACGAGCAGTATTTAATTATATTTTGGTTGAAATGAACTGTAAATATAGATAAACAAGCTAAATTTGATTCTTAGTCATCTGCTTTTTGGTTTTGTTGGATACAGAAGACCTTTAAACAGGTTACAGCACCAGAGGAGTTAAGCACCTGCCCTGTAAGTGTTAATGACAATGATATCAGTTTGCAGTACTACAGTACACGTTGTTTTTACAGGTACATCTATGTGTACTTTTGTGGGAGAAGATTTCTGGAGACGTTCAGGAAACGAACCACACTCAATGTGAAGCTCAGTTTGTCCAGAAGCTGTACGAAAAGCAGACACGTCTGTTCCACACTTAGTGTGAACGAAGGGTCAGCCATTGTAACTCCTGTAGATGCAAGCAAGCTAGCAACCAAATGTCTTCATTATATTAAGATAATTTGCTTCTCATCTGTAAAGCAAAGTTCTTGATTTACCAGTCAATCTACATTCCTACTCTCATCTATGGTCACGAACTGTGGATAGTGACCAAAAGAATGAGACTGCCAATACCAGCAGCCGAAATGAGTTTTCTCCACAGGGTGGCTGGGCTCTCTCTTAGAGATATGGCGAGAAGCTCGGTCATCCGGGAGGGGCTCGGAGTAGATCTGCTGCTCCTCCATGTCGAGAGGAACCAATTGAGGTGGCTCTGGCATCTAATTAGGATGCCTCCTGCATGCCCTTCTGGTGAGGTTTTCTGGGCACGTCCAACCGGGAGGAGACCTAAAGAAAGACCCAGGACACGCTGGAGGAACTGTGTCTCTTAGATGGTCAGGGAACGCCTTGGGAACACTCCTCCCACGGAGGAGCTGGCCCACGTGAAAATCTGGGCCTCTCTGCTTAGGCTACTAGCCCCTGCGACTAAAACCCAGATAAGCAGCTGAAAATGGATGGATGGCTTCTCATCTGTAGAGATATTTCAACAAAAATGAAAAGTAAAACATACCCAAACATTCATTAATACTAGTTAGTTCACAAATCAATCATTTCCCCAAAGCATGGTGATAAATTATTGGTTTTAGAAGCAGTAGGGGGTTAGGGTTATAAATGTTGTGTTTCATTTTTAATATCAACTTAACAGGTTTGTATTTTGGTGCATTTCAAGCTGTGTGACTTGGCTTTAAGCTGTGTTGTCTTTTCCGTGTTTTACTGTAGCCTAGTCTGATTAAAGTGTGATGACAAGTCAGAGGGTGGTGAGGAGCCACGGCTACCTGCCGTCAATCTTTCAGTGTGTCTGTTTCTTTTTATCCTCTAAACTGTATTTCTGAATGCATTTACTTAAATAACTGTTTTAATTTTCTGACATTTTTACAAGTATGATTATAATATATATGTATTGGTAAGCTGGTGTATAAAGTGAGGGTGGAGCCAGAGGAATCCCGCCAGAGTAGAGTAGAGGAGAGAGCATCTGCAGCAGGAGGGAGCTGCTCCTGTACAGCAGCACTTTGTAACCTTAGATAGTGACACTTTAAACACTGATTACTGAACAAAAACACTCCAAACTCAAAGCAGTTGAACTGATTGCCAAGAGGTCACGCTGTGACGCAGATCGTTCTCCACCTCCAACCTTGGTAGAGCATCAGCTGGATCAGCTGTCTCTGTTAACCTGAAATATATCTGCTGTGATTAAGAGCCAGCAGCATCTCAGCTAATGGGTGGCTCCAGCCAAGATTAGTCCAGCAGCGTTTAATGTAGTAGAGTGACTAAAATCATCATGTCACAGTGTTTTAATATCAGCATGAAATGTTCGTCTTGTCGTACAAATAAAGCTTTTTTTATTTTAATAAACTTTTCAGGCTCTTAAGGTCTTCATATCTGCTTAAACGCTCTTCTGTGCTGCTATGTGGCTGGAGTTTCTGCAATCTGATCCAGTCCCATCTCCAGACCCAAGCTCCTTGGCAGAGATCCTATCTACAACTCTGGAATTCCCTCCACCAGTCTGGCATGCTAACGTGAACATAGATCATGTCATCCTCTTGGCGGGGATGAAATGTCAGACGCTGCTGCTGCAGATACAACGTTAATCAGGATCTGAATGTTTGTTATGCGGCTCTTCCCTAAGTTTGGCCTCTAAACTTTAACACTCTGGTGTCTGCTCATCCCACAGATCGTCAGGCTTTTACAAACATTGACATATAAGGAATGGGAGTGGGGCAAGCCTGCACAGCGTGTTACTATCAGCCATTAAAACTCTTATTTGAGACCTGATGATACTCTAAACATCTGCACTTGATGCTGGAGGAAGTTGCAGCCGACTCAAAAGTTGATGCAAAATTAAATCGATGCACAGCCACAAAGCTCCCACTTCACACTGCACTTCAGACTCTCATCTGCTGTTTTATAAGAGCTGAAGAGTGGGCCCTGTTTTAACATGAGGAATACTGGCATCAACTTCCTGTTAGTGGTGAGGAACAGAAAGTGGATGTTGACAGGGGTTATCTGAGGTGGAACACATCAAGGTCCTCCTGGAGTGAGGAGTACTTGATAACGTCCTGCCAGCCTTTTTTAAATGTGACTAAAAGCTAATTGGACAGTAAAAGATCAAAATATTCCAACCAGGAAATAGCTTGTTCTTCTGGATGTTGGTTCATCTTGACTCAATGAAGGAGAGCATCTGGAGGGAGGAGGCAGTTAACGTGTCAAGCTCTCATTTTAAACATTTACATTTTTGACAGCTCTGTGTACTCCCTGCATGCATATTAACAGGACCAGGCTCCTTGTTGAGGGTGGAACGCCCTCCCACTCCCTCTGGATTTGAGTCATGTCAAACAGAGGAGAACCCGAGTTATCTCACAGATGCTGCATCCAGCGTGTCCATTCACACGTTCAAACATACTCGTGAGTCACGACCAAATGACTAAAAGAATGTAAACCACACTACATTAGCGGTTAAACTATTAAACTGGTGACAAAAGGGAAAGCAAAACTGTTTTAGTCTAAAATACATATAGTGTCAAAATAAAACCTCCCAAAACATCAAATTCTGATCAAAACTTTTGTCAGAAATAACTTGGATGACAACTGGCCTACAATTCCTCGAAGGTTAATGTTAAACTAAAACATGCAAGAGAGTTTCACCAGTTTGGTAAAATCTAGAAAATAATCTGTTAACACATATTGTATCATTAATGACTCACCTACCATGTCATTTTCATCTGAAACGAGTCCGTTAGGGCTCTTTCTGTGTTTGCTCCCCATCAGTTAGCTCTGACAGGAATATTGGCTGACACTGAAAGTTAATCAAAGACAGGTGAATAACCAATGATGACTTTTGGAGTGTTTTATTAAAAGATAAAGTAGCAAATGTCAAACTAATAATAAGAAACACAATTTATAAGGAAGCTATTGTTTCAATGTAAAGACAAACTAGCATTGATGTCCTAAACAGCTGCAGTTCTGTAATTTGTCATAACACCACATTTTATCACATTTAGTACAAAGTTGTATAACACACACACACACACACACACACACACACACACACACACACACACACACACACACACACACACACACACACACACACACACACACACACACTTATGCACATTTTCAAGAAAAGAAGCACTGAAATCTTCAATTAAAAATTCACATAATGAATAAAGATCAGATGCTTTTACTGAATAATTTTCTTGAAAGCACAAACGTAAAACAAAGTAAAAATGTAAACGTTTACATGGCATTTTAGCTGTCCGTGTCAGTGTTTAGCAGAGTGAGGTGCATGCATGCAATCTGATCAGTGTAAATTTAATTTCAGTATAATTTACAATATTTGACATACATAAACAGATCATATTATAATAATGATAAATCATGAAAGCTGTTAGTTACTAGAGCAGCAAAACAACGAGCAGCAAGTCACAACACACACAGTCAGTCAGTAACCACTGGCAACCCGTGCGCTATTACGCACCGTCCGTCTATATTGGGAAGCCTGGCTGTGAACCAGAGGGTCACTCCATGACGCAGCGACGCACGCAGGGCGTTGTTCTTCCATAATGAGAAACTTTATAACTGAACGTTGGCCCTGGCATCAATCTAGTGTCAGTAAGACTTTGTAAGGAGGAGGACTACTGCTGGTGGACTCTTTTTGGGAACTTGCTTCTTGCTTTTGCTACTTCTGAAGGAAACACGAGCTCAGCGCCTGAAGTAAGTGGACTCTGAACTTGATTTGCCGAGTTTGTTCTGGATGATTTTAAAGGCGGAAACGCGCTTTCCTCTTCGCAGTGCGCACAGACAAAAGGAATGTTGTTGCTGTAAAAAATGAATCACAGAAATCTTTTCAAAGCTTAAAAGACTCAAATAATCATATGTTGACGCGTTATTTTAACTGGTTCTTCTTTTTTCTGAGAAATTAATTTTGCAAGTGATCTGCGCACGAAAAAGAAAAAAAACTAACGCGTTAAGGCTGGCTCGGGTCTAATAACACCCAACGATTAAGTTTATTTATCTATATAACGAATGAAGGATGCAGATTAAAAGAGACGCTTTAGAGAAAGTTTTTCTAGCGGCTGTCTGCGTGCCTCAGACACACCCCAACACACACACACACACACACACACACACACACACACACACACACACACACACACACACACACACACACACACACACACACCATTAACAGACTGTCTCCCATTTATTAGATTATCTGTAAAGATGCTGCTCCTGCTCCTGGGAATCGTCTTCCTGCACATCGCTGCTCTTGTCCTCCTCTTTGTGTCAACAATAGTCAGCGTAAGTGGAGCTTTGAAGAAGATCCTTAATGTTTTCTTTGCTGTAATCAGGATTTTGCTAAATAAATGTGCGCACTAATAATATAATATAATAACTGATAAATTTGTGTCAAATAAACTATCAGAGACTCAGCTGCAGCTTGATTCAAGCTGCACGTGATTTGATCCAAGGAAATAATTTGACTTCAAAAGTGTGTGTGTGTGTGTGTGTGTGTGTGTGTGTGTGTGTGTGTGCGTGCGTGCGTGCGTGTGTGTGTGTACGGGTGTTTATATGTTTAAGTGGACACATTTTAACTTTAAGTCAATGGAGGTCCACACAGGCATATAAATACATGTGCGTGTGGCTCAAATGACTTGAGTAGTGGTGGACATCGAAGGCTCCTAGTTTTGCACCTGTTTTGTTAATGTATGGCCCCTAGACCTCATTAACATAAACATAACATAACATTCTTCCTTGGATCCAAATTGTCTTAAGGTTAGATCTCCATGGGGGGTGGGGGTGGAGGGGTGGGGGTGGGGGGTGGTAATGCATGCATGCCCCTCACTCTGCTAAACCAAATTACACCCATGGTTTGACCCAAGCTGCATATTGTTGATGCAGGTATGGACGACGGGGGAAACTATAACCTCTGACCTCTGGAGAAACTGCACAACTTATGGCAGAGAGACCAGCTGCAACCCAGCATCAGCCGGAGGTTTGTCAGACCCTTTCAGTCATTAGCTGCACATTTACAATATTACTGGACATTTTTGGGGTTTGGAAAAAGAAAACATGATGAAACTTTCATCTCGCTGATGATGTGGGCGTTATGCCTCATTTGTGACACTGACACCATCTAGGGGATAGAATGTGTCACTGCTAGCTGCTCGCTGATAGGCTCCTGCTGTATAAATAGTCTTGATGTGATGTCCATAATAAGGTCTCGTTTTGGGAGTCATAGTGACAGCAGTAAGAGAGCCGTGAATGATCTGGGTGTGGCTGCAGGGAGTATTTAAAGTTGTGGATGTTTGTGTGTAAGAGTGTTTAGACCCTACAGATCATGCTGCTGCTGATGGGCCACACCCTGTCAGATCACCATGTCCAGCTCTGGTTTGCAGAGGTCTCAAGGGCAGTTTAAAACAGCAACTGTACCAACAAGATATTTATAAGGGATCAGATGAAAATAGATATCCATTCATCCATCCATCCATTTTCATCCGCTTATCCGGAGTCGGGTCGCGGGGGCAGTAGCCTAAGGCGAGAGGCCCAGACTTCCCTCTCCCCAGCCACTTGGGCCAGCTCCTCCGGGGGGAATCCCAAGGTGTTCCCTGGCCAGGTGAGAGACATTCCCATCTGTACCGGGTCGACCTGGGCTGGGTAGCCCCAGTCGGCCCCAGCCTGGCCCGGTTGATTCCACACATCCTTGCCTTAAGCCCATGTGGGCTGATTCTACCCACCAATCAGAGGCTTGCTCTAATGGAAGGTGTGAATTTGCTGTCAGCAGTGGGTGAGTTGGCCCTGGTCGGCCTGAAGCAGACCCCCTTGAGAAGAGGGGTGAGAATGAGCCTTGGTTGGCCTCGAAGAATACCAGGCCACCCAGATATGTAAACAACCTACAACCTCATCCCAGCTGCTTCACACTCGGCTGCGAACCGTTCCAGTGAAAGCTGCAGACCATGTTCTGATGAAGCCAACAGGACCACATCATCTGCAAAAAGCAGAGACCTGATCCTCAGGCCTCCAAAACGGAAGCCCTCCACACCTTGGCTGTCCTGTCCATAAAGGTTATGAACAGAATCGGTGACAAAGGGCAGCCTTGGCGGAGTCCAGCTCTCACAGGGAACGAGCCCGACTTACTGCTGGCAATGCGGACCAAGCTCTGGCACCGGTCATACAGGGACCTAACAGCCCGTATCAGAGGGCCTGGTACCCCAAGAGCACATATGGACACTTTTATGTCTGAACATTCATTATGGACAATCCATGACTGGCACAGAAGTTCAATAACAAAACACCACTCGAATTCAGATCAGGGGGGCCGTTCCTCCCAATCACACCTCTCCAGGTCTCACTGGCATTGCCCACGTGAGCGTTAAAGTCCCCCAGCAGAATGAGGGAGTCACCGGAAGGAGCGCTTTCCAGCACCCCCTCCAAGGTCTCCAAAAAGGGTGGGTAGTCTGAACTGTAGTTTGGTGCATAAGCACAGACCACAGTCAGAACCCTTCCCCCCACACGTAGGCGACGGGAGGCTACCCTCTCATTCCCTGGGGTAAACCCCAACATACAGGCACCAAGATGGGGGGCAACTAGTATGCCCACCCCTGCTTGGCGCCTCTTAGTGGGAGCAACTCCAGAGTGGTAGAAAGTCCACCCCCTCTCAAGGACACTGGTTCCAGAGCCAGAGCCATGTGTTGAGGTGAGTTCGACTATATCTAGTCGGAACCTCTCAACCTCACACACCAACTCAGGCTCCTTCCCCACCAGAGAGGTGACATTCCACGTGCCAAGAGCCAGCTTCTGTAGCCGAGGATCAGACCGCCAAGGTCCCCGCCCTCGACTACCACCCGTCACACACTGCACCCGACCCCTTTGGCCCCTCCCACGAGTGGTGAGCCTATGGGAAGGGAGACCCACATTTCCTCTTCGGGCTGTGCTCGGCCGGGCTCCATGGGTGAAAGCCCGGCCACCAGACGCTCGCCAATGTGCCCCACCTCCAGGCCTGGTTCCAGACGGGGACCCCGGTGACCCACGTCCGGGCGAGGGTACACTGTTTCCATTTATATAATTCATTGTAAGAGGTCTTCAGGCTGCTCTTTGTCTGATCCCTTACCTAGGACCTGTTTGCCATGGATGACCCTACCAGAGGCAGAAAGCCTCAGACAACTTAGCTCCTAGGATCATTGAGACACTCAAACCTCTCCACCATGGTAAGATGGCAGCCCAGGGAGAGGATGAAAATAGATAATGATTGTTTAAAAAAAATCTCACCACAAGTTCTTTTAGGCACCTTAATGTTGGGGAAAGTTCTTAGGAGGTGCAGCAGTTGTATGTTTAGCTGCTAAACGTGTTGCCATGGTGGTGTTAGAGTGATGTCACTGGTCAAGAATGGGCCCTTTGAGCCAGTGTGTGTTGTGTCAGGCCGGCAGTGCCTGCACACACCACCAGATTTGTTTGACTTGCTTTTATTGGTGCGCTGACACAGAGTGTTTGCACAAGAAACAAGGCGCGTGTGCTGTTTGTGTGTTCATGACTTTGGGAAGTGGACGAAAGCTGTCCTGCTGAGCAATCAAGTCTCTTCTGAAATGAAGTTTCTCCCTTTTGTTGTTATGGTTACTAAATAAATCAGCTGTTTTAATGACACCTTGCTGAGAGATGCAGTGACACATTGGCTATCACTCTCCCTCCATGAGTTACAAACCTGCAAAGCCATGAAAATCACTTTACAGAATTTGCATCCTCTAAAATGAGCTCCTCGGGAATGAGGAGCGTTTTGGCCTGAATGCAGCAACAGTAATGCTCAGCAACATAAATGCGCCGAGCGTTGGAACTGAAGTCCAGCAGCAGCCTTCATCCTGTTTTGAGTCCGAACTAGAACAATAACACACAGGTTGGAGTTGTATATCCACTCCAGGAAATAGCCAGTGTCACAGTTTTCTACCAGAGAAGGAAGGAAGACGTGTATTTATCAGAAAGCAGCGATGTTTAATTGTTCCCCGCTCACAGCGTTTATCACAGAGTTAAATATAACATGTGAAAACAGGATCAGAGTGAAATCCAGCCACTGCTCCAGCATCGGACCTAAGCTGTCTAAAAAACTGAAAGCATCATATTCCTTCATTCCTAAAATTATCATGAGCTATTGTCCTGCTCTTAGATGAACTCTCAGCTTAAATGGCCTCAGAATAAAATGAACAAACACCTCAAAGGAGAAATCAAGTTTTGCACTGAGGTGGTGTGATGTGGAACATTTCCCTCATTATCCTCTTTGTTTTTGACGAGTCCCGATGATCTATGGATCATTGTTTTTCCATTCCTATAAGTGCTCCTCCATTAAAACCACAACTTGTTTTTGATTTATATTCACATAAGATAATCTCTACACCACCTGGACAATGTTGGGTCACATTTGAATGTTTAGTGTCAGAAAAACAGATTCAAAACAAGTTTTTCTGAAGTCCCGGTACTTTAGGCAGGGATCAGCTGATGCACAGGCAGAGGAAGTCATTAGTGATAAAGAAGGTGTGACTCACTACGACAACACAAACAAGAGGAGATGGATTGATGTTGGGAAGGAAATTGTGACACTTTGAAACCTGGATGGGGTCAGAAGGTGAGCAGATTGTCTCCAGGGGTAAAAACAACAACAGCACATGACTACATGCTACTCAGACAGACAGTCCAGGAGTCTAATGGGTTAATAGTGTTGGAGGTCCAGCAGTAAGGATCGATGAGTTCCACTGAAAGTCATCCTGTGAGGAACACAAAGAGCTTTTAGAAACAAGATACCTGAGCCTTGTTGTTATGGATCCATTACACATTCCCAGAAGTAAACCAGGTTTGGGTTTTATGTTCTGTTTGGGAGGATGCTCAGACTCGGCTGAGACGGGGCCAGTCCCTACATCTGCTGATGTTACATTTGTCTCCTCTTCTTATTTTCCTGATATATTTATCAGTATGCATATTAGTGTCCCTGTTACTGACTTTTCTTCTCATCCTGTCCTGCAGAGTGGATCCAGGCAGTCCAGGCTCTCATGATCCTCTCCATCATCTTCAGTGTCCTGTCTCTCTTCCTGTTCTTCTGCCAGCTCTTCACCTTGCAGAAGGGTGGACGCTTTTTTCTCACTGGAGCCTTCCAGATCCTGGCCAGTAAGTTCACCAACCCCTACCTGATTCTTTATATATAGATAGATAGTCACTCTGTGCCATCCTGGCAACAAAAATGTAAAAGCACAAAGCATTAAAAGCAAATTCTTAGATTCGACAAACCAAAAACCTTTTTGTACTTTTATTTCAGCAGAACATCCCACAAATTTCATGCCACATAATTCATGGCAGAGAATCAAATGAAGAATCTGAGCCATTAGGTTTTCATGCCCCACTCATCTTTTATACTTCATGCCCTTTAGCCAGAGCGCTGCTCCACCACCACTCCATTGTGTTGTTTCTTGGCAGCCTTTTTGCAAAATGCCAGTTTTTTTCTGAATTTCATGTCAGCGCACGGCCAGGGGCACCCAGGTGCCCACTCAGCCAAACAGGAATGAGACTGGGAATGCTGCCAGCTGTGCGAATTAAAATGTCAGGGGAAGATGGCGGTGCGGAGGTTTGAGAATCAGATCGGGTCATGCCAGACAAGGGAGGTGGATGGAAGCTGGGAAGGTCTGCAAAGGTCAGACTTGGGTTCAGTAAGCATGAAAGGCTGTGATGTAACATGGAGGGATGCCTTCTGGGAAAAAAATGACCGACCTGCCTCTGGTGCCAGACAGGGTTCAGACCAGGACAGAGGGACTGCAGGGAAACATGATATGATGATACAGCCAGCCTCATTCCTTTTCTCCCCTGCAGGTTTGTTTGTGATGAGCGGAGCCATCATCTACACGGTGATGAGTCCAGAGTGGGTGCCTGAGAAGCACAACTTTGGCTACTCCTACATCTTGGCGTGGGTGGCCTTCCCCTTGGCACTCATCAGCGGACTCATCTACGTAATCTTGAGGAAACGAGAATGAGTCCTCAGTTACCCGACAGCAAGTGTTCGAAGTCCCCTTCTGCAGTTTCAGGTTGTGAAGGTAGCCTTAAACGCAGCTAACATAGGGGAGCTAATACCAAAAACCACCAATACTGTTAAAGATGTATATAGTATCTATGGTTTAAAACCTATTTATAACACTTTTTACATAAATGTACATAGTCTTTGTGTTGCTTTGTCAAATGTGCTTTGTTTAAGCTGATTAAGTGCCTCAGTCTTTGTTTGTAACGATGAAATGATCCAACATGATTGTGTTGTGGTTTTATCTGCCTTTTTGTTTGAGTAATTGCCAAAGATAAAAAGAAAAAAAAAATACAAAACAAGTGTTTTACCAACCAAAATGCATGTATAAAAACAGGAAGATAAAGCAAACTTTTATTTATGGACTTGCTCAAATAGTGTAAACATCATAGGATGTAGCATAGCCTTGAATTGGTTATTTTTCTATTTTTGAATTTGCTATTTTTTGTTTCATTTACTGCAAAATATGGTGCTATGTATTTATCATTCCTATTACTGATAGAAATCATTTACTAGATATTTTGTTGTGTTATACGTTATTTAAATTGAGAATCAAGTCAGAGGAACACTGCAGAGCCTCACTGCTTATTTAGGGAACACAACTTATACTTAGCAGTGTTTTGTGTTTGTTCATCAGCAGTAAAATTGTAAGATTAAGGCTGTGCACAGATGAGGTCAGAATTATTACTCTGCACATTAAAAAAATGGTTTCGGTAGGTTTTAAATGAATCTGTTTGAAATGTCTTCATTATTGTTTCTGTTGAAGCCTCAAGAAGCCAAATTGCCTTTATAATCAAACCTCTTTTAGGGAATAACACTGCCAACAAAAATAATAACAATGCTACAACTACAAGCCACCAAGGTGAATCCAAATGAAAATCAATTGCAACATATAGTGGTTACTCTATATGTGAAGTAAGGACAGAGAGACCTGCAGCAACGATACCATTATTAGCTTGACATACTTGAAGACTCGCTGCGATTTCTGCCTACTCGTGTTAGTTATCTTTGTTCTGCTCTACTGTACAAAAACACAGTTTATAAATATGTGTGTGCATAACAGCAACTTGCAGCAAAAATGTAGTCTCAAATGCTCACTAAATAAAACTACTCTGCATTATCCAGTACTGTGTTTTCCACTGTTACAAGAGACTGGCTTTGATGTATGTGAAGCTAAATTGGACCCAGAAGCCCTTCTTAAGGATTTATTCTAACAATAAAGAAAGAAACAGCTGCAAGAGCAGCGCACAGAAACCATAAATCCCTTAACTGGTTTCTGGTGCAGAACCCATAACTGACATGTTGCATGTTTTACATGTGCTTTAAGATGGATACCTAGCTTGTCTTGATGAGCATCCTTTCTGCATGTGGTTGCAAAATTACTGTATCCAACTTGTGTCATGCTCGCTGGGGCAAAGGCACGCCTTGCAATACCAGTTATTCAAAACATGCATCATGTGTTTCGGTGTTGGTGTCTCCTCCCACACCAGATAAGAGAGGACTTGTTTAAACTCTGTGTGATGCTACACAGTATGTCCTCCACCCATCTCCTTTAAAACAGCTATGTTTTACTGAAACTGCTAATTGGCTAGGGGTTGTATCTGATCATGGGTCCAGTTAGAAGAGAGTCCCTCTAATGACGACTGCCCTGATTTGTTGTAAGCCTAAAGCCTTCTCCATCTCAACCTCTACAAAGCTTATTCCAATTTATTCATTAATAAAATATATTTCTGACCACCTAACAGGCTTTTTTGTGTCTTTCATTTATAGACTGGACTTTGCAGATATCTCATGATTAATGAATCTATATCGTTTTAAAACAACAGAACGTTTGGTTTTCTGTTCTGAGCTTATGACAAGTGTCCAAATCTTCTGTGATGAAGAAAGATTCTTGTTGGAGGCCCAAGAGGTCACAGGCCTCCACTTCCTCCCCCTCTCACATACCAGCTCAGGGTAAAATGAGGACACTGCGTTCCTGTCTGTCTCTGTAGGTGTGTGTTGTAGAAACTCTCGATCGACTGCAGCTGAGTTTATTTTGCTGTGAACATTACATTTTTATCCAGAAAATGTTTCTAACATCTAGAAAACTCCAGGCTTGTCTCTCACAGTGGATTCACCTGGGGGATCAGGGTACCACCTGTACAGGCCGTCTTATTTAACAGTGATGAGAAGATTTTTGGAGGATGACCTCATTTCACTAAGGGTGGTTAAGAAGCCAGTTCATTGATTGAAAAACACCAGAAACAGACTGGTATTCTACAACAGGTCTACGGGATTGGCTGCTGAGGACTCAGATGGATCATTTATCTGATCATTTGAGGCATCTGGAGAAAAGACTTCCTGGAGAAGAGCAGGTGAGCGCTTTCATCAGTCCTGTGTCATGTCATGATTGGGGTTACTTCTTAGCCAGGAGAGGGAATTCACTCAGTTCAGCCTCAGAACACAGCCATGAATAAAGAATGGCACCCAAAAATCTTCTCAGAAGAACACCTCCCAAAAAATGATGAACAGCATGGATGATGGAGCACTACGCCACAAGGCTAAAGTGATACCTAACTGGTCTAGTGAACAAAACCTTAACATTACAGCTCCATGCCCAGGAACCCCCCTTAATACCACAGAAATCTTGTTAAAAAGGCGTGTAGAAAAATATTACAAATCCCAAAATACTACAAGGATTGGTTATGGAAAAACTGGTCTGCTTCAGACTGGACGTGTCCTAAAAGTTGATGGTGTCAGGATGAACTGCAGAGGTCTTGGAGAAGAAGAAAAAAAGTCCAACACAACAAATATGAATTCTTTACACAAACGTCATGCAACAGTCAATGAAAGCCTTTGAAACTTATGAAGTATTTGTAAATATATCAATGTGCCAAAGACACAGTCACAAAATATCCAAAGCAAACTGTGAAAACCAATCGGCCATGGCTACAAGGCTTCCTGTCTTTTACTGTCCTGTTGAATGGCTCCATCTGGTGGTTGAACTATGAAATAGCAGCAACAACTTCATTAAACACTGTTTGAACCAACAGCACCTCTCTGTGGTCAAACTGCAGCATTACCTGAAGAAGAGGTGAAAACCCTCATCTCCCCTGGGTGTGGCAGATTGTATTTCTCTAACTGAAGTGTGTTAAACCTCATTACCTCAATATATGACCATCAAAGCCTCATCGGTGAGTGTTTCTCAGCCATTAGTATGCACACACGCAGTGTAGTCGGTGATTTCTCCTACTCGTCTGCTCCCTACATTAGTCAGTCTAATGAAGGCCCCTCCTCCAGGCCCATTACTGAGGCGTTCATGGCACAACTCATCGTTAGTGGAAAAACTGAAGATAAATTAGTCTTCTGCCTTTGAAATGTGTTAAAGATTCAGACCAAAAAGGACTGTTCACTGGGATTTTAGAGAGACAACGGGATCTTGTTTGTTACAAGAAGGATCAGAGATTTAGAAAATATTTGTCTTAAAAAATGTCTGCTGATAATGAATAAAATTGGAATAAAATTAAATCACTGCAGTACTAAGGGCGTTGGACGTGTATTTGGAAGAAAATTTGTTTTAAGTGAAATAATATTTCCTCATTCATAAAATTTACAAGAAAAACAATCGCATGTCCCTCTTAAGAATGGATATAGAGCAGGATTCCTAATTAATGTAATCGATTTCAGTCATCAAACCATTCACTGGGTCGAAATCTCTCAAGAATTATTTAGCTCTGCATTTATTTGCTGTTTAGACCTAGCTTATCAAATTTAACAAAATATCAGTGGGAAATTGTGGCACATTTAAAAATAAATCTTATAGTTTTGTGCAGCTTAGTTTGCGGTTTATCTGCACATATTTGCTAAATTTTACTTTTTGTAACAGGTTTCCACGAGATTTCTGCACAAACGTCATAATGAATTTTATTAGATTTTTGTCAGATAAACACTTTATTTTGTATTTAACCTATTGTGACTTATGAGTGTTAGCACAGAGATGAATAAAAAATAATCTGTTTTAGGACTGAATTAAAAAGGAATTGTTCTCACTGGATTCTACCATTTAGTGCTGACCCAAATATAATTGTGTACTTGTGTAACCCTTCCACTTTCCTATCAGGTGACCTCGCCAGGACAGGGGGTAGTTAAACACAGTTTAAAGTTTATACCTTGGCAGGGGTGAAGTGATGCACCTCTAAAAAATATATTAAAATAAAAGATAAAAATACACCAGAGATCCATCTGATCCCATAGCCAAATGCGGGAGGGGTAAACAGCTACAGCTGTGTGTGTGAGACGCTTGAGCAGCAGGTAACATAACAGAGGTGTTTTACACGTTTCACATGTAAAATGGGAGTGAAAGCGTTCCACACAGCCAGTCCCAGTGAGGTCACATAATCACAAGAGAATTACAACATCACGTGGGATTTTAGAAGTTTATGTTTATGTTTATGTATTTAGCAGACGCTTTTGTCCAAAGCGACTTACAAGTGATAATCGGCATTTTGCCCTTGAAGTTCTCATGATAACAAGCAAGGACAAAGATGGCTGCACGAATCCAAAAAGGTCAGTGGTTCATTTCTGTTCTGTTTACCTCAGCTAAGGAAGTAAATCAGCTATGGAGCTTTATTACTAGTTAAACAACTGAATATCTGTACTCCTCAGCCTCCCTGGAAAGGTCTACTCGAAGGTACTGGAGAGGAGGGTCCGATCGATAGTTGAATCTCAGATTGAGGAGGAGCAATGTGGTTTTCGTCCTGGCCGTGGAACTGTGGACCAGCTCTATACCCTTGCAAGGGTGATGAGGGGGCATGGGAGTTTGCCCAACCAATCCACATGTGTTTTGTGGATTTGGAGAAGGCTTATGACCGTGTTCCCAGGGGCACCCTGTGGGGGACGCTCCAGGAGTAGGGGGGGGGGCGCGGCATTCAGTCCCTTTACCAGAGGAGCGCGAGTTTGGTCCGCATAGCCGGTAGTAAGTCGGACCTGTTCCCAGTGAGGGTTGGACTCTGCCAGGGCTGCCCTTTGTCACCGGTTCTGTTCATTACCTTTATGGACAGAATATCTAGGCGCAGCCGTGGTGTGGAGTGTGTCGAGTTTGGTGGCAGGAGAATCTCGTCTCTGCTTTTGTGGATGATGTGATCCTCCTAGCTTCATCCAGCTCTGACCTTCAGCTCTTGCTGGGTAGGTTCGCGGCCGAGTGTGAAGCGGCTGGCATGAGGATCAACACCTCCAAATCTGAGACCATGGTTCTCGACCGGAAAAGGGTGTTTTGCCAACTCCGGGTCGGGGGAAAGGTCCTACCTCAAGTGGAGGAGTTTAAGTATCCCAGGGTCTTGTTCACAAGTGAGGGAAGGAGGGATCGGGAGATCGACAGGCGGATTGGTTCAGCATCTGCAGTGATGCGGACGCTGAGCCGATCCCTCGTGGTGACGAGGGAGCTGAGCCAGAAACCCAGGCTCTCGATTTGCTGGTCAATCTACGTCCCAATCCTCACCTATGGTCATGAGCTTTGGGCAATGACCGAAAGAACGAGATCGCGAATACAAGCAGCCGAAATGAGTTTCCTCTGTAGGGTGGCCGGGCTCAGCCTTAGAGATAGGGTGAGGAGCTCGGACATTCGGGAGGGACTCGGAGTAGAACTGCTGCTCCTCCGGATCGAAAGGAGCCAGTTGAGGTGGTTTGGGCATCTGGTCAGGATGCCTCCTGGATGCCTCCCCAGGGAGGTGTTTCGGGCATGTCCAGCCGGCAGGAGGCCCCCGGGTCGACCCAGGACACGTTGGAGAGGGGTCCCAATCTGGTCCGGGAATGCCTTGGGGTCCTGCTGGAGGAGCTGGTGGAGAAGGCCAGGGAGAGGACGGTCTGGAGCTCCCTAGTTGGGATGCTGCCCCCGCGACCCGGATAAGCGGAGGAAGACGACGACGAATATCTGCACAACTTTTATTTAGAAAGCTTCTGTTTTTTAACACTGGTTTTGTGTTTGACTTCCTGTCTAACCCGATCTGAACTGCAGCATTTGATGTGTTTTGGAAACGTAGAACATAAAAAAGTAGACCCGGAACGTAAGCAACATGTCCCTTTGCTTCTAGGATACATCCAACACCATGCACTTCGCAGCCGGTTGAAAGGAACCTGTCCACTGTAATGGCGGCTAATTGCTGCTAAATCTGTTTTGCGGCCGTTTTGCGTATTTTTGGTAGAAAGTTGGTTTAAGTTCCACGGGGATGAGAACTGGACTCAGGACCACTAAGGAGCCCCAAGTCCAACTAGAACCTAGAAAGGAATAAAGATGTTTGACAGTTTGTTACTGAAGAAATTCATGAGTGACTTGACCATACACATGGTGGGTGATGATGGTTCCTGCATTTCTAGGAAAAAGTTATTTTATTCTATGTCAAAAGTTTCGGATCACTTGGAAACTTTCTTGTTCTTTGGAAACCAAAATTAGACTAAACAAGAAATATAGCAAATAAACTAAATGTGCAGGTGCAGTCTGAGGTAGAACATATTTTTTTATGGAAAACTAATTTCTTGCATCCTTTTTCGCTGCCATGTGGGTCTCTACTGCCTCTATAAAAATCCATCAGTTCTCTGGCAGTGTTTGGTTTAAGGAATTACATGTGTTAAACACATTATGATGTCATAGATGATGAAATTAGCATTAAATCACCTCTCATGCGCTACAGAGAGCTACAGCTGGAGAGGTGTTGGGCTTTCTCTGATGGCTCTGACACTCTCCAGCCCCTTCGTTTCACTCCAAATG